GACTCAGCCTTCTCCCCCCTGGTCCAATCCCTACCCACATACATCCATGATTCATCTGACGCCTTACGCCGGTTTCAAAGCTTCCAGTTTACCGTCTCCAGCCACCTCCTCTTTACCATGGATGTGCAATCCCTTTACACATCCATTCCCCACCAGGAGGGTCTTAGGGCTCTCCACTTCTTCCTGGAGCAAAGACCTGAACCATCCCCACCCACCACCACCCTCCTCCACTTGGCTGAGCTTGTCCTCACCCTCAACAACTTCTCTTTCAACTCCTCTCATTTTCTTCAGGTAAGAGGGGTTGCCATGGGTATCCACACGGGCCCTAGTTATGCCTGTCTCTTCGTGGGGTACGTGGAACATTTCTTGTTCCAGTCCTATTCCGGCCCCCACCCACAACTCTTTCTCTGATACATCCATGATATCATCGGTGCTGCTTCCCTCTCTCGACTAGAATTGGAAAACTTCATCAATTTCGCCTCCAATTTCCACCCTGCCCTCACTTTCACCTGGTCTATCTCTGACTCCTCCCTTCCCTTCCTTGACATTTCTGTTTCCATTTCTGGGGATAGGCTGGCCACTAACGTCCATTACAAACCCACCGACTCCCACAGCTACCTGGACTATACATCCTCACACCCCACTTCCTATAAAGACTCCATCCCATTTTCTCAGTTCCTCCGTCTCCGTCGCATATGTTCAGATGAGGCCAACTTCGACAAGGGAGCCTCCGAAATCTCCACCTTCTTCCTCAACCGAGGATTCCCCAGCTCCATTGTCGACAGGGCCCTCAATCGGGTCCAACCTATCTCCCGCACTTCTGCCCTCACCCCTTCTCTTCCCTCCCGCAACAGCAATAGGGTTCCCCTTATCCTCACCTACCATCCCAACAGCATCCACATCCAGAAGATCATCAGATGCCATTTCCACACCCCCAGCAAGATGCCACCACCAGACACCCTCCCCTCCCTTGTCCGCCTTCCGCAGGGACCGTTCCCTCCGGGACACCCTGGTCCACACTTCCTTCACCCCCAACACCTCCCCACAGCCCTACGGCACCTTCCCCTGTAACCGGTGAAGGTGCAACACCTGCCCATTTACCTCCTCCCTCCCCACTATCCAAGGGCCCAAACATACCTTCCAGGTGAAGCAACACTTCACCTGCACTTCCAAGAATCTAGTCTACTGCATTCGCTGCTCACAATGTGGTCTCCTCTACAATGGGGAAACAAAGCGTAGACTTGGCGACCGCTTCGCAGAACATCTACGTTCTGCTCGCAACAAAGACTCTGAACTACCTGTTGCCTGCCACTTCAATGCACCACCATGCTCTCTGGCCAACATCTGTGTCTCTGGCTTGCTACAGTGTTCCAGTGAAGCCCAACGCAAGCTGGAGGAACAACACCTCATTTTCCGCTTGGGGACCCTACAGCCCTCCGGACTCAATATTGAGTTCAATAATTTTAGGGCCTAAACTCTCCCATGTCCCAGCCCCCCACCCCACACACCAGGCCTTGTTACCACATAGCCTGCCACTACACACCCCCTGTTGTTAGTCACTAACAGGCCCCATTAACAACTACTCACCCTCCCAGCCTGATCATTAGCAACTCCTTTGTCTGTCCCACTGTCTTTCTCTCTCTTTGGGCTCTATCCTATCATTTACTCCCTACCCCATCCATCTCCCTATTTTCTGCATATCAACGGCCGCTTTCCCAGCCACCATCAGTTCTGAGGAAGGGTCACCAGACCCGAAACATTAACTCTGTTTTCTCCTCCACAGATGCTGCCAGACCTGCTGAGCTTTCCTAGCAACTTTGTTTTTGTTGTTGTGGCCTATAGTTTCTTGCTTCCTGTGTCTCTACCTTTTTGGATAGTTGGTGTAATGTTAGCATTTTTCCAATTCCTGAATTGACTGGTGTTTTGACTGGCATTAGCCCACTGTAATTCCAGTATATGATGCAGGTAATACGAAAATTGGCAGTGGGGGGGGGCGGGGGGATTGGGGGTGTAGAGAAGGAGATAAATAGTGAGAAGGACAACCTTAGGTTACAGGGGGATATAGATGGGCTGGTCAAGTGGGGTGATCAGTAGCAGGTGGATATTCAAATCAGGATAAGTGAAAGGTGATACATTTGGGCAGGACAAACAAGGCAAGGGAATTACATGATGAACAGTAGGACCCTTGGGATCAAAGGGTGCTTGTCCATTGGTTCAGGTAGCAGGACAGGTAGATAGAGTGGTTAAGACAGCAGATGGATACTTACCTTTATTAGCTGAGACACGGAGTTTAACAGCAGGGAGGTTATGCTGGAACTGTAGAAAACATTGGTTAGGCCACAGCAAGAGTATTGTGTGCAGTTCTGAAATCCATATTATAGGAGGGAAGAGAATGCACTGGAAAAGGTGAGAAGGAGATTTACCAGGATGTTGCCTAGGCTGGAAAGTTTTAGTGATGAAGAGAGATTGGACAGATGCGGGTTGTGTTCCTTGGAGCGAATGAGACAGAGGGGGACATGACTGCGATATAGCAAATTATGGGGGACAAAGATAGGGGGGACAGGAAGAGACTGTGCCCCTTGGTGAAGGATTCAATGCCTAGGGACATAGACGTAAGATAAGGGACAAGAAGGTTTAGGGGGAAGGGAGGAAAAATAAATTCATCCAGAAGGTGGTGGGAATCTGGAACTCACTGCCTGAATGGGTCATAGAGGTAGAAATGCTTATAACATTGAAGTAGTATTTAGATGTGCACTTATGATGCCAAAGCATATAAGGCTTTGGGTCAAGTGCTAGAAAATGGGGTTAGAATAGTGTTATGCACCAGACCAAACCCCTTCAAAAAAAATTAAGGTGCTAGCCCAGACCCCAACTTTTTCTTATTATTAAAGGCAAGTGTAAGTCAGTGTGTTCCAGATGCAATTCGATTTGTCAAACTACCAGGCTTGAAGCAAAACACACTTTATTCTTACACTACAGTTAAAATACAAAAGGAAGAATTGGAATAACTTAACTCTATTGAAAAACCTAACAGAATAATAAATAATGTAACTACTTCAAGCAATTTTGCTATAGCAGGGAGAGATGTATAGCAGCGTCCAAACCCCAACAGCTACTGAAAGTTAAACTAAAAGCCTGGCTCTGTAGGAGCTTGACCCCACTCCTTCATGCTGCTTCTATTGTTCCAACTTTTTAAAAAAAAGGCTGGTTGGGTTCAGAGTAGACAGCTTGGCTCCAAGTTTACAACATTTGCTTTCAAAAGAAACATGATAGAACAAATCCTTCTTAAAAGGCACATCCCATAACAAATAGTTAGCTGCTTGTTTTTGATTTGCACAGACTTGATGGGCCAAAGAGCCTTTTTTTTTGTTCGGTAAACCTCTATGACCTAGCCAGAGCTATGTACTTCTAATACATAGATTTTGACAATTTTTGTACTCAACAATATTAATGCTGCTAGTGTTGCTTCTTCTTGCCATCTAGTTCCCCAATGTCCCAGCATGCCAATATCTCCAATCCATGATTTATCTGACATTGGCAGGATTAAGAAGCCAGGAGCTCTAGGAGTGCACAAGTGTTTTGGTGCATCTGCTGATTTAAACAGCTGCACTCCAGTGTAAATATTGGAGTGAGGGCAGTGCAATCAGCTCAGTGGAACCATTTCAGGTGAAACAGTACTGCCCATTTACAGTAATCCTTCAGCATTCACCACTATTAGGACAAGATCTGGGCCATGTCTTTAAAATGGTAACTTGAGCTACTTCACTCACATTTTCTTTTACTTCTTTGATGGGGAAGTTTGGAAAAATTGAGAACAGAATGGTTTTGGAGAATGAGACATTGAGAAAGTAGAAATTGTTTCAATACTAATTGATGAGGTATATGGGACTATTTGCAAGATTAAGTGCCACATTTTATTCCAAAACAAATGAAACCTAATTGTAATCCTGATTTTGAACTGTTCACTAGCCTCTTCTATGTCAATTGAACAAAATCAAATGTTCATGAGACTTAAGGCTAATACTGTTCTCAACTTAAACTGTATCAAATATTAAATGTTAAAATTTTAGCCTTTACCTTGTGGGTTATCCACTCTCTTCCGTACTGGTACACATTGTTAGCAGCAGAATTTAGTGCTTTCTGGATGACCTGTGCCTCAGGAAGCCAGCTGAAGCAAATTAGGGCAGTTATATAGTGAGACAAAATTTGGAGCAGAGGCAAAGAACTTAAACACTTCAAAAGAAAATCACGCTTCATTCAGAACTATAAAAATTCATGTTGAATTTGTAGAGTTCACTCACCAATTTTGTACCCTGAAAATTATACATCCAAGTGGAGTTGCAATTTAAGAGCTAACATTTAAAATTGCTTTAAATTAGTGCCACCTGGTCCACAATTCTTAATTTATTTACGGAACATGCTCCCAAAGATCCATTATCTTAAAAAATCTATTATTTATTATCTTCCTCTTGAGCTCTCTGTATGAAGATATACACAGAAAGAACAAGGAATGAAATACTTTAATGAAATATCTGATTCTTTAGAGCAATGTTCCACACAAACAAATAATCGTAAGCCCATATCCAACCACTCTTACTTTCCTGAACTATTCAATTGATCTTAAATGTTGATATCTTACTGCAAAAATAAATTCTACAGCTCAATTCTGTGTTAACAAGTTTATCCTACTCTCTATCGCAATTTGCATTTCATTTGGCATCAATAAATCCTTTTTTCTCAATTCTTGAGCTACTGAAAGTCAGCTTTTATTAACTTTGTCCTACCTATTAATATTGTGCTATATTTTGTTACATTGTTCCAACAAAAATAAGACCATTTTTCTTGATTTCTTCCTTTCTACATTTTCTTATACTAAGTTACATTCTAACAAATCAGAAGTGTACCTTTGAAGGTTTAAAATACTTCCTACAGCAACAGCACAATATTGGAATACAAAGTTATGGTATGCTTTCATGAAATATTGGTGTATCGTTGGTTGAATCTAGGCAACACATATTAGAAAGGATAAAAAGCACAGTAGGGGAGGCAAAAGGGATTTACATGAATGATTCTCGGGATGAGGAAGCTCAGTTAAGAGTACAGATCAGAGAAGCTGGTTTGGTTTTCCCTGGAAAGAAGGGTCAAGAAGAAATTTAATTGAGAGATTCAAAAACATGAGAACAGACCAAAGTAATAGGGGATAAACTGCTCCTATCAGTGGAATGGTTAAGAACAAAAGGACATTGATTTAAACTGTTTGGTAAAAGAACCAAAAGCAACATGAGGCAAAGCCTTTTTAGGCACTGAGTGGTTATGATCAGGAATGCTTGCCTGAGATTGTGGTGAAGGTGCCTCCAATTGTGATTTTCAAGAGAACTGCATAATTATCTAAAAGGAGAGTTGCAATACTCTGGAATGAAAGATGGCCTCCTTTTTGACACAACCATTTTATGAGATATTTTCCAGTCTACCTGTTCAGAAATGCTACAACACACTTCTGGAGCAGATGGGACTTGAGCCTTTGCCTCCAGGTGCAGGGGCCAAGACACCACCACTGTGCCACATGAACCCCCAGATGACCATTCTATAATCCTAAATACCAAAATGTATTTCAACTGCCATTTTTCAGCCGCATCTCCATTGTTACATCAAAGTACCTTTTTTTTGGTCTGCAAAAGTATTAAGCAAATTTCCTATTATGATATAATATGCAAATGTGATGACTTTTTTTTGGCCTATACCAATGTCATTGTTATGCATTGAACAGAATTAGTCCAAGTGTTCCATGAGATGTGACTAATTATTTCCAACCACACTGAAGAACTGTATTTAATGTTTTACTTCTGTCTAATAAACTTTGTGTTCAGTCACCATCCTGTTCCTGCTTCCATACTCCATCATCTAAGATCGTAACCTCAGTAGCAACTTCCCAACATTCATGAGAACTAGAGTCATACAGCAAAAAATAAAGTCTCAATCCATTATGGCAGTTATCAAAAAGAATTACCAATTCACATCACTCTCTAGCTGTTCCTCTACCAAGCTGAAAACTTCAACTATCTCGTTTGTAAGGAGATTTTCAAATCTCTTTTGTAAGTTTCATATCATATCTTGCTGAGAAATCCCCATTCTGACTTTTATGCTAATTATTTTAAATCTTCTCACTGTAGTCACTGATCCTTCTGCCACTGGAAACAGTTGATGTTTATGTACGTTAAATTCGCAATTATTTTAAACACCTGGATTAATTCCAGGGGTCATTCTGTGATTTATAAAGATTTATATAACTTCCTTACTTTTGTATTCTACACCTTGACTCATCAAGTCAAGGATCCATATTAATTTTCTAATTATCTCTATACACCCACATTAAAATTATACCATTTAGTTTACACTTACTTTAATCACTTAACCTTCCAAACTATATCTCTAGTCAGACCCCTGCCCACTAATTCCACTGACCACTCAATAAGTTTGATGAGATTTATCATAATCATGCCTTGTAGATTCCACTCCAGCTTGATTAACTATACTCTCCTTGGTCTAGATATGTGACAATATCATCCCTTATAAGTGACATTAGAAGTTTCCATGTCACAGATGACAAGATCATTCATCTGTAATTGCAGAAATTAGGTATTTTCACGATGTTGACTACTCAACAGCACCTTTGAAACTGTGACTCTACCATACAGAAGGACAAAACCAGGAGATGAACACAACCGTGACTTAGAATTATATCACTGTTCTTTCACTTTTGCTGAGTCAACATCCTGGAATTCCCTCCCTAATTTTACTATGGGTATACTTCCACTAAAAGGAGTAAAGCAGTTCAAGGCAGCAACTCAACAGCACCTTTGCCAACGTAATTAGGCAAAACGTCCCAGCCTTACCAGTGACACACACTCAAAGAATGAATTGAAAAACATGCCCTTTCTCAACATCCATCAACAGAGTTCCAAAACATAATTTTACAATTTCTAGGATCACAACTATTTTTTCACTGCCTTCCTCAAAATCTCAAACAGTTAGCTTTTGGCATTTTGTCTTCCTTCAACTCAATTAATTTAATCAACATTTTGCTCTTAGCCAAAATTATCAATAACGCAGAAGTGTTATTAACTGTAGGGTTAAACAGATTCAATGGGAAGGGAAAAAAAAAAAATCAGGACAGAGAGAAAAGTTAAAACAAACATCTTTAGTCTTGCAGCTTACTTTGCCCATTCAGGATGGTTAGCAACAGTCTCATTAATCAGGCTACTGGTGACTTTGATCATGTGCACACTTTCCTCGTGAACCTGCAAATATAATGCACATTTCAGAACCACTGAAGCAGTATTGTTTATTTCTCAATTGTTTGAAACAAAGTAATTTCTTGTCAGAATTTTTATTAAATTTTAATCTTGATTTAAAGCCATAAAGAGCCCAAACTACATTTTGTAAATATTCTGGAAGAAGACATTAACACTTTGTTGAAGAGATGCATATCACACGGACGACACTTTGTGCTTTGTTTATAATGTGGTGATATGCTACAGTCCAGTTATATCCTATATAATTCTGGTCCCAAACTATGATTGTTTTTTTCTTTAGAACTTGCCAATTAGTGCCACAACCCACATCAGTAAAGTGGCATTGAACATTCATCAACAACTTGCATTTGGCAGACCAAAATTGTCTTGACATGCTATAAAGGGACAACACAAAATTTGACACTAAGCCAATGCAAAGAAATATTAAGATAAGTTACCAAAAGTTAGTCAAAAATGTACTCTTTAAGGAACATCTTAAAAGGAGGAAAAGGCAATGAGATCATTTATGGATGAAATTCCAGCGTTTAAAGCTTAAGTAATAGATGGTATGGTTAAACAAAGGAGGGGTATGGAAATTTGGCATGTACAAGAGTTAAGAACTGGTGAAACATACAACAATCAAAAGATTGGTTGGAGGTTTCAATGATTGAGGGGGTCAGGGTCTTTCACAAATTAAGATAAAATGCACTCGAAAGTTAGAATCCTGCAGGTCTCACATAGAAGAGTTTGAAAATTATTTCGGAGACTAAATCTCTGAGCATTTCAACATTTATTATGTTTATACAGTCAAGTTTCATTCTCGTTTTAATCACAGCAGTTCACTGGGGATGTCAAGGCAGAGTGTGTAAGCTGTATATAGCAGCTGAACTGACAAAGGATACATAATTACTCTAGGGTTTAAGAATGATAAAGTATTGTTTTCTTTTATGACCTTTTATTGGTCCTCATTAAAAGATCAAGTTAATTCAATTTTCCCAACATATTGAGTACTTCATGATTTAGGATGCACCTTTCATACCCATCCCACACCTACCATTTTGCATTTATTTATGTTATGGTACCCATTATTAGCGATACATCAAATGCATAATACACATCCCAGAGAATGCTGGAGAAACTCAGGTTGGCAGCATTCATTAATCCATAAAAGAGGACGTACAATTTCTGTTTAGAACAACATTTTAAAATCTCCAATTTGATATCAAACCATGTTGCCTTAGTGTGAGCAGTCCCAGCACTTATGACTATGCCAGTTAGCTAAATGAACATTATAAAACAGATGAAATAAAGGCATAGGAGCAGAATAAAATTTTAAAACAACCAATTTTACACCAAATAAATTCTCACATATTACAGTGCTCGTTAAACCAAAGACTGTTACTAATTACAGGAAGTTTCACATTGTAGATTTCAACAATTTAGATTTTCAATTAAGAGAATGAGACCTAATGAGCAAGTTATCTTTGTCAAGTTCTAAGGAAGGGTCACTGGGCCTAACTCTGATTCCAGTCCACAGATGCTGCCAGACCTGCTGAGTTTTTCCAGCAATTTTTGTTTGCGTTTGATTTCCAGCATCTGCAGTTATTTCAGTTTTTATCTTTGTCAATACTGTTTTTAAATATCTCGTCTTAGATTGGTGAAGATATAGGATGCAGGTAACATGGCCAGTGTGAAGTTAAACAAAACTTATGTTAAGGCAACATGCAAGTGAAAAACACATTCAGCATACCCTGTATCAAGAGAATATGCACCCTTTCCAATTTTTTTTTTGCAAACTGTACCTTTGCAGTAAGTAATAAAGCCAGCAGTAACGTTCCCATAACCAATAAAAAGATGATAAAAATGCTGATCAATTTATCCAGTGATTTCTCCAGGCAAAAAATAATCTGCAGAATACAAGCAAAACATTGATCTCTTGGACGGAGAATGTACCATTTCAAAGACAGAATTTAAAATATCTATGCTACATAACAACAGGAAGAAACTTGTGCTATAGAAACATGAGATTGTAAAGGGACTTGACAGGGTGGATGCTGATATTTGATGTTTTCCCTTTTGGGAGTGATTGTTTTTGAACTTTACCTTTGCTCCAGAGTTTCCCATTTCAGACAGAGGGGGGATTTTTGTTTCCTCTCAGAGGATCATTAGTCTATGGAATTCTCTTTCCCAACGAGGAGAGGAGGCAAGATTATTGAACATTTTTGATGCCAAGATAGATTGATTCTGGACTTACAAGGTAAACAGGAAAGTGGAGGCCACAATTAAATCGTCCATGACTTTATGAAATGGCAGATCAGACTCAAAGGGCCAAATGACTTATTCCTGCTCCTAATTCACATGAATGTGCATATTTGTTAATTAGTTACACATGGAACAACACCTATTAAAATATTTCAATCAAAGCCCATTATGATCGGCTATTCCATCCTAGCTCTGACAAATGTCCACTAAAATCAGAGTAACAGCACATCCTTGATTACTCTTGAGAGCTGATTTGTGGTTCTTCGGCATTTGTTGCATTGCAGTATCATTGTAATCAATCTGGAGATGAAACATGGTTGATAAAAACAAAAATTGTTCTGTGAATATTTAAGTAAATTTCTCTGAATATGGCATACCAATGTAATTCTTAATCACACTTGATTTTCAAAGTGAAAGAAAAGTTCCATTTTAGTTTTGCATTCAATTTCATTTGTACTCCCAGAAGATATATATTGAGGGTTAGATACAGCTCACAACTCTCCATAGGTAACTTTAACAACCTGCCTCAATTTGTCGACTTTTCAGAAACATTAACCAATGATAAATTTCAGAAATGCATCAACTGGGACACAAGAAATATTCCAGTCGTAATTAGGTTCAGCACGTTCGTCGCAACAATGTCTAAACATCTAAACCAAAAATCCTGTTTTCTCTAACTGATTTAATTCTTAAGCATTTTCAGCATTTAGGTAAGATGTTCTTTGCTTGTCTACACCAAATGAACTGCAGCAATTCAAGAAGGCAGTACATCACCACCTTCTCGTGGGCAATAAATTCTGGCCCAGTCAGTGACACTCACATCTGGTAAATAAATAAAGAAAAATATTGATAGGCTGTGCGAGTGGGAAAAAATCTGGCAGGCGGAATATAATGTGGGAAATTGTGAAGTTACTTACTTTGCCAGGAAGAATAAAAACAAAGCAGAGTATTACTCAAATGGAGAAAGACTGGAATTCTGAGGTGTAGGAGCATCTAGGTGTCCATGAGTCACAAACGATAGTATTTAGGTGCAATTCATAATCAAGACACATGATGGAGTGTTATCCTTTATGATGAGGGGAATTGAACATTAAAGTAAGGATATTATGCTTAAACTATACAGGGCATTGGCGACACCACATCTTGAACATTATATACAGTTTTGGTCTTTTGTTTCGCTCAACGTTGAATGTAAATGTGTTGAAGGCAACTCAGAGGGATTTACTAGATTGATACCTGGAATGAGCGGGCTGTCTGATGAGTCTAGATTGGAAACACTGGTCTTGGCGTATGGAAGAGTGAGGGATGACTTGATTGAAGTATATAAAATCTTGAATTGTCTTCATAATTTGGACGTGGAAGGGATATTTCCCCTTGAGGGTCAGTCCAGTCTAAGGGGCACCATTTTAAAAGTAGGACAGAAATGAGAGATGTTTTCTGAGGGTTGTGCAACTTTGTAATTTTCTGCATCAGAAGATGGTGTGAGCAGAGTTATTGATATTTGTAGGGCTGAGATTTTTTTTTAATGCAACTGAATCAAATGTCATTTGGAGTTAACGGCGATGAGGAATTCGATACACAAGCAGACCGGCGTGATCTTACTGAACAGCAACACTGGCTTGAGGGGCCAATTACCAACTTCAGTTTCTTTCTTTCATGTTCATAAAGGCACTTCAGCTTGGGAAACCAAAACTTTGGCCAGGAACAGACTGCAGCTCAAGTGAAAATGACAGTGGAATCATTCTTGTGTTTGTACTGATGGGCTTCAACAGGTTTCCTCTCTTTTCAACTATATCAATTTCTGCATTAGCAAGCAACTGCTGAATCAACTGTTTTTATAGTCTATCCTCCTTTCCTGTCTTGAACAGAGATGTCAATTTGGCTAATTTTCCTTCCACAGCAGAATATGTACGATAAGAATTTTTGAAAATGATGATCTGTGCCTCTGCTGTGTCCTGACTTCCTTCAAAATGCTAAGGTGCATGCCATCAAGACCTCCATCAATTAAAGTTGTTATGCTTTTGCTCATCATAGCAAAGAAAAGCTTTGTCAAATAAAACTGAAACCTCATGCTTCATCAGATGATGAAAATGCATTGTTAAGCATGCAACTTCACAAACAAGAAAATTAGCATTTCGATTAATAGTCCACAATGTATTAATATTCACATGTAACAAGCTTTTCATTTCTCCTACTCATAACACCAAATTTCACTAAACAGCTGAAATATACTGCCTCACTTATAAACAAAAATGTTTTGTCTCAAATTATCTGCCTATTAGCAAATGCATCAAACTAAATTAAGTTAGTTTTTTTTTTAAGAAACAGCCATAGTCAGTAGCACCCCATATTCTCTGGATGCTGTTCTCTCCCTTTAGAATTTATAGCTGGTCTCTATTTGGCTTGTTCAATGGCCAGTTAAAAGGTACACTGTTTGCACTTCCTCTAAAGGCAGTTTTGGAACACAAAAACAGTATGGTTCTAGGCATAATAACTTGTATGCATAATGCACTACCAGAGTGTAGGGACTGGAACAGGAGCAGACCATTCAACTCTTTAAGCCTGTTCTGCACCTAGTGAGTTGTACCTCAGTTCAACTTAACCACTTTTACTTCATATTCCTATCACGTATCCTTTATGAACACAATATAATATTGCAAAATTACTTATAATTTATACAACAATCTGCTTTCATAACAAAACCATCAATAAAGTAAGCTTTTTGTAACTGATAATTGTTTTATAAAAATAATTCAGGGTGTTAAAAGGAGAATCTTCTGTACAGATTTAAAAGACACTCAAATGTAAAATGATATCCTGTTCAGTATGGTTGCAACTTCTACCATACTGCTTCCTTACTTAATTTTCCTCATAGAAAGAAACAGTGCAAAAACACAAAAATTACTGCCTGTCTCCACACCAAATAAAGATGAATTTAACAAGTCATGGAATGAGGAAAATCAAGAGAAGCTGAAAATAACTGCAAAAAAAAAGTACGTCTCCAGCTAGTGAGGGAAATAACAACTCACTATTTGAAATGCTGTTAACTCCATTCAAACTTTTAAAAAATATGACTGTAAACAATTATTTTGGTTCTTGTGAAAAAGATGACAAGATAAAGAGCATCACTGTCCATTTAAAAACATACTTTACTATTAATGACATGATCACTAATTCCATCTAACTTATGCAATATTAAATAAAATTCTTTTTCAGTACGTCATAATAAATATCAGATTATAAGTTTTAACTGATTGTCCAATAGCACAAGTTTCTTCATGTCCATCCACAGTCTCAGCACCACATGAATAAACAATCCAAAACCATTTTGGGCTGCTAGAATGCAAGGAAAAAATGTGAACAACTAACAGTCCAAAAATGCAGCAAAATTCATGCAATTCAGCAATGCAAGCAGAAAAAAAAATCAAAATCGACATAAGCTGTAGAAGATCAAAATTATTAACCCAATTTGCTGAGCAAAATGACTGTTATTCCCTTGCAACCAAATTACTAACTCAGGATTAGATTCAATTACATTGGCAGCTGATAAAATTAAAAAAATTATTTCAGCTGCACTTAGTGAGATTTGATGAATTTACAGCAAGTCTGCAACTAACTGTTAGTGGATTACAAATTAGTTCTGTTAGTAGACTTGAATTGGCAGCAACACACCCTTGCAACTAATAGAAAGTGAAGTGTTAACAGTATACATCTGACGTTAAATGATTACCAGTGTTCCCACAAATAACCAAGATAAAGTATCATAGGTTTGCGAAGTACTTTAAATGATTAAATATAACAATAAAAGTAATTACATGAACAAAAGTGTGTCAGTCAACCAAGTATTAAAGTAATTCAGGACATTAATACGTAGTAGTAAAATTAATGTTGTTACCCTCAAATTGTTTTTGATGGAAAGACATATTCAAATCTGACCTCCCACAGCTTAAATAAACAATGTTTTGAAATATACCCAGAAACCTTGCTGAAAGAATGAAAAATAAGTTTAGTCCAATAAATGTTGAAAAACTACACAATCCATGCATAATCAATGAGTGCACAAATTGAAGCAAGTGTAGGATCTGAAATATCAACCTGCTAGTTACCTGCTTATTAAGCCATTGCCATAGCTTTCGAAAAAAGACAAGAATTGGAGAGTTACTAAAAGAAATTAACATAAAGTAATGAAGGCAGTTTAGGTAAAACGCCAATGAAAATGTCACCTGTGCCGAAAGCTACTGTTTGTTTTAAGAGAATGATTAGAAATGAGAATAACATCTGAGGATTAGAAAGTATATAATCAAACTAAAATGGGGTATAAGGATTATCTGGGAAATTACAGACCACTGAATGTAATACCTGCTATGTGTAAATTATTAGACTCTCACAGGGCATAAATGAAATATGTGGATAGAAACGTAGGGATTGTTTCATGGTAAGGGAAGACCAATGTAGTTTTCCTTCACCAGCCTAATGATCAAATCATCAAATTATGTATAAATGGTTAATTATGTCTATCAGTTAGTCAAAAACAGACACATACAAGAAGAAACTGTCTAGTGGTGGAAAGCTTTAGGAGCCAGAGGCCCAAAGTCAACCTGTTCCACAAAGTATGTTGCATGTCATAAATCTAGGGTATCACAAAGCCAGCTCAAACTTATGCAAAATCAATTTGACCTAACAAATTTAAAACAGTTCAAAAAGGTACTTTTTTGACAATAGAAAATGTTGTTGCATGATGCATTTAGATTTCAGGAAGGCATGGATAGGAAGGCAAGCTCTGAGATGTACTGAAAGGAATTCAGACAATGGGTTATCATTCTTGAATGTTCTCTCTCTCTCGCCACAGATGCTGGCTAACTTGGGTAATTCTGGCATTTTCTGCTTTTATTGCCATTACTGTTACTGGTTAATCTTTATCGAAGGTTTGGGAACTGAAACAGACATCAAGGGAAATTAATATTCAGAAAATATTAAGTATAAGGGGAATTGATTTAAGATAATATGGAAAAAAAAGGAAAGAAAATTTACAAAGGAGCTGCAGAGATTGGGAAAGTGACCAATGGATAGCAAACAGCATTTAATGTGAATAGATGCAAGATAATTGAATTACAAAAGGAAAATGGTGGCAAAAGATTCTAAATGTTACAGACTACAGGACATATCAGGATGATCAAAAAGAAATACAGCAGTCAGTAACTACAGCACAAATTTCATAGGTGTTAAGTTTGTCCAAAGCACAGGTTCGGTCAGGTGGATTAATGTGTCTAATACAGAGGGCTGTATTATAGTAAGAATGTCTAAACATTGACAGACAAGAGCAACTAAGATGATATTTACCTTCTGGCATCCAAACTGTGTGCAGAGAATAAAACTCAAAGATTGTTTACCTTAAAGCAGAAGTTTAAGGGAATAAGTAAATTGAGCCTAGATGATGTGCTGCATTGCCATAAACCTAAAACTTGGGACTGGACGCTAGTTCAAGAGAAGTAAGTTGCATAGTTAGTTTAGATTTAACTGCTTTATAGAATATTGAAAATGTGAGGTGGGTTATCTATGGAGAATGAGGGGTAAACAATTTGAGAATTGGATAAATCTTTTATAAGCAGTGGGTGAAAGAAGGACATCAGATTTCAGGATCAACCACTTGAATGCCAATTATTGTCCGTTCTCATACTCCTGAATATTCATGTTAACTTTATAAAAAATGAAAATAAACTTTAATATTTAATATAAATAAAACTATTCCACTTAGAAAACACAAATACAAAACATCTGATGAAACAATCAGTCAACTCAATTAATTCTCTTCCTCATGACTACAGTGCAAGACGACTAGCTTTAGATGAATTGGAAAAAGAAAAATCAGTGACAAATTTTTATCCAGAGGTCATTCACAGTATTATTTTTGGATCGAATTTAAGGACTTTGCCACATATGAATCTTACACAATCCTGTCAGCTTCACTGCATGAATGCAACAGTAACTGTTTTGCAAAATATAAGGAGATCTGAAAATTAAATTCAAAATTAGCTTTGATCATTTGCATAATTTTAATTTTCAACTACAATTTAATAAAGAATAACAATTTCTACATGAGCACGAAAGAGATTTGAGGAGGAGAAGAGGTAGGTAATTTTGAGCCAACTATCCAAAATTTTTACTGACAATTGTTGGATAACAGCAACTCATACATAATTCATTATTGATCAACCTGGACTTAAATATGATCCTAAAGCAAACTAATCTTCAGCCATTTAAAAATTTTTAATACAGTTAGCCAAAAAGAGAAAGCATTAATCAAGTGTCAGGAAAGTGAGAAAAAATAAACAGCATGTTAACTATCAACTCTTATGAGCATCTCCAGTACAGAACAGAAGAATCTTCCCAGTCCAATCAGGGGAAGAAAGAGGTAGAAAGAAAGAACAATCTTGATTAGTTTAGATAGAAGATAATAGTTGATAAATCATACCTTACTGTCAGCCTTAACTATGATTTTTCCGAGTCCTCGGATTGGTCTTGGAGCCAAAGCATCCTGTCTTTCTTTAACAAAGGTGGAGAGTATCTTCCAGTGTTTACTGATATGCCTCTCTGCAAAGTTCATTAATCCAAAACGTAGGACCAATTTCTTAAGACCCCAAACTGTTTTCAAAAAAGAAAGGATTCAAGAATACTTCATAAAATTAGCGGTTAACAGGCAAAACTAAATTCAGCCATGACAATT